ACACGATGTCAGTACTAGAGTGGTGTGGGGGGTAGACACTTAAACACGATGTCAGTACTAGAGTGGTGTGGGGGGTAGACACTTAAACACGATGTCAGTACTAGAGTGGTGTGGATGGGGGCGACTTCTCCGCAGAGCTGGATAACCAGCAACAGTCCAAGACCGTGAGCCAAAGCTGAGCCTTTGGCCGTGTGTATGTCACTTTATGCCGAGTCGCCGTCCTCAGGTACCTGTGAGCTTCTTGTTAATGCGCTCATGGTATCTGAGCACTCACACTTAACATATCAATGTTGCGCCAGGCGTAATAAGTTGCTATGGTTTTCTGTACCTCCTAGAATTCCAGATTATCTGAGCTATCCATAAATGGTGCCATTCCAGACAAAACACAGAGCCTAGCCAGGAGCAGGAAGGTGTGACTGGAAGAAAGATGTTCAGTTTCTAAGTAGTCAGAGCTGTGTTCCTGTTGTCCACATGCCTGAGTCCAGAGCAGGCACATGCACTTCCCAGTGCGAGACAGCATCCCGTCCTTGCTACCGGAAGTGCTGGGCAAAGAACGGAGGAAAGCTAAGAACGCCGGTATCACTCCCCCAGCCTGTCAGGGTTCTAGTGATACATCTTAAAGAAGTGTTTGAAGTGCTTCTATCTGTCAGTTCCAACTAAGCTAATTTTAAAAAATTGCTCTTTGTACTCTGCCTTTCTCATGAACCTCTGTGAGTTTAATGCATACAATATGTGGTAGGAAGCCTGTCAGCCTCAGTTCCCATCCCCCCGAGTCTGAGAAATGGATTTTAGAGGTGCATGGTTGCACCTGCAAGGATTTGTCATTTCATAAAATGGGACCTGAGACCATTGTCAACACGTTTTCTAGGAAAGCGTTTCAGGAGGAGGTGAGAGGAAGTGCTGTCCCGCCCTCCACTGCCCTGTTTTGTTGCACCTCAGACAACACAGGAGGACTGTTCCTCATTACCAGGGAATGTGAGTCATTCCCAGATTTGTGTGATTGGGATTCCAAAGCATTGCTGTATCCGATGGCCTTATTAAATCCAAGTGTCAGAGCAGCCTTTCAGACTGTAGGGGAGCGCTCAGTTACAGCTGGTGACCTGGTTCTAGTTACCACACAGAGATGCTGGCCAGAGCAGTGCCCCTCCGAGCGCCCAGAATTCCATGTGCATGGCTATTAGCAACTACTCTAGATGTGAGGGTTTCCTGGCTCACTTCATGGGCTCCGGTACACTTCAGCTCCATGTTTATGTCTTCACTGGGACCTGTAGACCTCAAGGGGAAGTGCCCCAGTGACCCAGCAAGCTCTGCCAGTGGTGCCCAGTGGGGCAGGGTACCTCTTTGCAGATTCACTCAGCCCAGCGGGCCGCCCAGGATCTAGCAAAACACAATCCATTTCTAGCTTGATCCAAACAAAACAAATAAAACATTCACCAGAGAGGGAGGAAACTATAAATGTTGCCAGAAAATTAGTATGCTGTTTTTCCCTTCTTCTAGAGTGTTTCACAGCCAATGGTGCAGATTATAGGGGGACACAGAGCTGGACAGCACTGCAAGGCGGGAAGCCATGTCTCTTCTGGAACGAGACATTCCAGCATCCATACAACACGCTGAAATACCCCAACGGGGAAGGTGGTCTGGGCGAGCATAACTATTGCAGGTAAGATGGGCCGTGGTACTGCAGGATGATCTCTGGTTCTTCCAGCTCCATCCAGCCCTTCTCATAACTGGCAACACTTTCTCATCTTCTGCTGGCCAACTCAGAGGACCATACCATTCTTTTAAAAATAAATTAATCAGAGCTGGAGAGATGGCTCACCAGTGAAGAATCCAGGCCGCTCTTCCAGAGGAGCCAGGTTCGATTCCCAGCCCCCACATGACAGCTCAGAACAGTCTGTAACCCCAGTTGTTGGGGGTCTGACATCTGGCTCTGCAGGTACTGCAGATGGCGCACAGACAAACGTGCAGGGAAACTTACACAGGAAATAAAAATACCTAAAAGCCAGTCAGTCTCTCCTCTGCCGTCTGCCTCTGTCTCTCTGTCTCTCTCTCCTCCAACTTAGTTTGCTTTCATACTGGCTATAAGAGAAGTATCCTGTCTGGTTACCCTCTTGTCTCTTAGGGAGGATTTTTTCAGGCGGTTCTTCCAACCAGTGAGCATTTCATGGGCATCAAAGGTGCTGAAGATGTTCAGACCATCTGGGACCCAAACCTCCCTCCGACACATTATCTAGGCTCTACTTGAACTCCTGGGTTCAAGGAACTCCACTCTTCAGCATCCAAGCAGCTGGGCAACAGGCATGCGTCACTCTGGGCTCCAGCAGGGCGCTCTGATCTCACTCCATGATCTTCAGGGGGGAGATTTACGATTTTCTTTGGGAGGTGAGCCACAGCTTTGATCAGGTTCTGAGACTGAAGACAATTGAGAATTATGGTTAAGGTGCTTCCTGTGCAGAAGTGAGGTAGAGTTGGGATCCTGAGAACCCAAGTAAATGGTGGTTGTTATGAAAGCCCACCTGCCATTCTAGTGCTCAGAAGGCAGGGATGAAATTCTAGGAGCATGCTGGCCACCTGGACTAGCCATATTGACTAGCTTGAGTTCAGTGAGAGACACTGTCTCAATGAATAGTGTGGGGATTAATGGAGAAAGCCTCCAAAGTCAACCTCACACCACACATAAACACACACATTCGAGCACATACATACCTGTACACACACACACACACACACAGAGGAATAGACAGAAAGATAAAAATAGAATTACAAGCTTTTAGAAACCAGAGCAAAAATTCCAAAGGCCTTGTTTATACCTTTCAGCTACTTACACCCAAGATCGTGATAACATGACTCATGGTTCAGCAATGTGTTGAATTTAATCATTCTTGGGACAGGTGCACAGACTGCCTCTTACGCCATTAGGACAAGAAAGAATGGTTGCCGAGTCCTACTCTGCGTTCCACACCGACTCTGGTACATGAACATCCTAACCATAGCGCACTGTTGACCCAGCTGAGCCAACACGTGTATTTCTGCATTGTGTGGGCCACTCTGCCTTCCACCCTCCACGTGCCCAAGCTAACACTCCAGGCCCGTGTGACTGTCTTGACGTCACCAGGCTTGCAGTCCGTGTCTGTCTTTCCCTTCGGCTCTTTACCTCACCTCTGTCCTAACTTGCATCGACTGACTCTCCCCAGGTTTGCTGTAGGTTTTCGTTTGTCATTGAAAGTTGGCTACAAGCCAGCGATGGCTGTGCGCATACCTGTAATCTCAGTACTTGAGAGGTCATGGGAAGAAGATCAAGAGTCCAAGGTCATCCTTGGCCACTTAGTGAGTTCAGGCCAGCTTGGGCTTCATAAGATCCTGTCTCAAAAACCTGAGCCAGACAAGGAAAAGAAAGCTTCACTCAGTGTTTGGACAGTCCCGCTGCCGCGCTCCGCCCTCAGCCCTGCCCGGCAAGCCTCAAAGCAGGGTGTGTGCTGGCTTTGCACTCGGCCGTCATTTGCATCTTTTAAAGATGTATTTTATTATTTTAAATCCGTGTGTGTATGTGTTTGTGTGGGTCTGTACATGAGTGCAGGTACCACAGAAGGCCCGAAGTGTCCAATCCCCTGTAGCTGGAGTTAATAGAGGGCTGCGACCTACCCGAGATGGGTGCTGGGAACTGGACTGCAGATCACCGGAAGAGCAGTGTGCGCTTTGACCACTGAGCCACTCTCTCGTCGCTGTCCTCTGTACTTTGTTGTTAGGGTTACTTGTGCTCATTAATCAGTTCTTTGCTTAATTTCAAAGGTGTGTATGCTAATGTTTGGTATAAATCAAAACTTGCAGTCTGCCAAGGTGGTTTAGTGGGGAAAGGCGCCTGCTGCCATGCCTGATGACCTGAGTTCAATACCCTGACCCAGTGGCAGAAAGAGAGAACCAAACCCCACAAGCTCTGTATGTGCGCCATGGCACATGCTCCCTACACAAGTGTGCATGCACTTAGATGTGAATAAGTAAGTGAATGTTTAAAAAAATGCTAGGGAGCTAGCTTGGTGAAGTGCTTGCCCAAGGAACTGGGTTTGGTTCCCCAGAACCCACATGAAAGCTCTGTGCCGGGTGGTGGTGCACAGCTTTGATCCCAGCACTTGGGAGGCAGAGGCAGGTGGATCTCTAAGTTCGAGGCCAGCCTGGTCTACAGAGTGAGTTCCAGGACAACCAGGGCTACACAGGGAAACCCTGTCTCGAAAAACAAACCAACAAAAAACCCCAAAAGGAAAAAGTTCTGCATGATTGCGCTCTTATAATCCCCACAGTGGGAGGCAGAGGCAGGCAGGTCCCTGGGACTTCTGACTTGCCACTAGGCAAGTTTCAGGCCAGTGAGAAACCCTGTCTCAAAATTTAAAAAAAAAAAAAAGATTAACTACACCTAGAGAATGGCACCCAAGGTTGACCTCTGGTCTCCAAATGTACACTCCTGCACAAGCGTACACACGAGCATGCACTCACACACACTCATGAACATGGACTCACTCAAACATGTGTGTGCACACATGTGAACCTGCACGCATGCATGAGCACACATTCATGAACGTGCACAGACAGGTGAACACGCAGGCACACACATATCTCCACTCGGACACTCGTTTCTCTTATGTCCCCATCCTCTAATTTTCGGTTCACGGGTGGCGGGCTGGGAAGGAGCTCAGGTGGAGCAGTGAGCAGAGGTTTTGTTGTTGTCCGCAGTTCTTGTCTTGGTTTTCTCATATGGCCGCTTGCTGTCTCCTAAGGTGTCTTTGCCTTGCTTTGCTTTGCAATGCTGGGAAATGCTCTGCCACTGTGCTGTCCCTGAGGTATCTCCTGCTAGCTCAGTTTACCCTGTTTCTCTCTAAACATTCTCAAGTTGCAGAAGAGCTATTTTAAATTTGACTTTAGGGTAAACTTTAAATTTCCAGTGAGAGGGGAACAAATTTCTACTAGATGCGTGCACATGTCTACTCACAGGCTTGCAGGAGTGCATCCCTAAGCATACCAAAAGGCTGTACCTGAGGCTGTGAGCACCCCCACCACCACCCCACCCCCGTACCTTCCCCCTTAACTCCCTGGGCTACAGCCCTCTGGTTTGATGGAATGTACCAGACCTGAATTACCAGTTTATACTTCAAAAGGAGAGAGGCTGAACCTCTCATGTTGATGCTATCACATCAGAGTCCAGGCTCTTTGCTCTAGTGCTGCAGAGAGAAGCAAGGATGGGTCTGCCCGCCCTTTGTTAAGCTATTCGGATGCTTTTCAGAATGGCTTTGACATTGATAATAAACACTTGTTGTCTAGGGGTTCTATCCAATACTACATCAAAGCTGAACTCGGAACAGAGGGAGGAAGATGACTGAAATACTGTCTAAAGAAGAGCTTTGTACAAGCCCTGTTACTTTGATTTCTCAGCTGACATCCGACACCATGTTTGTCTTGTACGACTTTTCAGATCCATCTCATCTGAGATGCCTACCCGCTATCGAGTGATGGGAACAGGCTTCTCCTGGCTGGGTCTGAAGTATCTGGATTAGAGGGGGAGGCAGAGCCAGGGAAGAGCAGAGTTGTCACTCACACCTGCCTTTGGGCACAAGAAGAAAAGAATCCTTTGTGCCTGGGAAGCTTATCTTCTAGGACACACAATGGGCTTGTCTGCTCAGGCCCAGAGGCTTGCTGTGGAGCTCCGCTGGGGTGGGGGTATGGGGGTGGTGTCCTCATGCCTATTTCCTGCCTAACTGGAGTGTCAGCTTTCCAGTATTCTGAGTCTAAATAAAGGGGGCTTGGAAAGGGGTGAAGAGAGGCAGCTTGTCTCTTCTAGCTGCCCCTGTCATTGTTGACCTGCTTCATAGGCATCACGATTTATTGTCATGACGTCTCTGCACCAAAATGACCTTGAAGATCATTTACTCCAAGCTGCTCTCACTTGGGAATATGGAAACAAATCTTTAAAAAACATGATCGTCATGTTAGAAGTCAGTGTCCTGACTGAGAGGCCTCTGTGGGGTCTGTGGTGAGAGAGTTGGTACCACTTCTGTCTTGCATGTGTGAGTTAGCCAGCCTTGAATTCAAGTAAGCTTGCCAGCCAACCTTGTGTTAGGTGAATTTAATTTAGTTGTTTAGAAACTAGACACTTGGAATAATCATTATTGAAGAAGGCAGAAACTAAAATTAGAAAAGAAAAAACAAACTAAAATTGCCAATAATCTTAACGCCTAGGAATAAACAGTTTTAAGATCTGAGATTAAACCCTACCTTAAATATACCTTTTCCAAGCTCAGAGCAATCATATTATCTGTGGTGTTATTATTTTGTTTGTTTGCTTGAGATAGAGTCCTGCTATGTACCCCAGGCTGACCTAAAACTTGTAGTAATCCTCCTGCCTCAGTTTCTTGGGTGTTGAGGTTATAGGCATGAGCCACTGTGGCCGGCTTATGTTTTCCTTCTTGATGAGAGGTGACATTGAAATGCACAGCATTTATTAGAAATGATAGGGAACTCAATGTTGTAAAACTAAATGAGCCAGGTGACTTGAAATACAACAGTGTCATCAGTGTGTCCTTATTCCCAACAGAAATCCAGACGGAGACGTGAGCCCCTGGTGCTACGTGGCGGAACATGAAGACGGTGTCTACTGGAAGTACTGTGATATTCCTGCCTGCCAGAGTAAGGCTGATGCACCCTCTGAGGGCTGGGGCCTGAGTACTAAGCTCAGAGCAGAAGGCACTCACTGCCCAGGGTTGTTAGCGCCTGTTGCTGCCTTTCAGTAGTGAGTGCAGTGAGAAGTGAGTGAGAAGTGTCATGGGCTGTGGGCTTCCTCGTCTCTTGTTGAGTTCTTAGGAACGCCCAGTTCCATGGCCTACCATTTCCTGGGGGTTTCCCAGGTGGGTAAGCTCAATGAAAAGTCCCATATTTGGTATTATTTGGCCTCAGTTTCTCTGAAAAAAATGATAGAAACTGGTTACATAGCACCCACAGCTCTTTAATTCACAGTGTCTATTGTGCTTTTAATGGTGACTCATGGCTCAGTCTCTTCAACCTTTTTGTGTGTATGTATGTGTGTATTCATATGTGTACAGGTATGTGTATGTGCATGTGCACATACATGCTTTATGTGTGGAGGTTGAAGGTCAACCTTGGGCGTTGTTCCTCAGGAGCCATCCACCTTGTTTGCTGAGCCTGCATCTCGAACTGGAACCTGGGGCTGATGGGTTAGGCAAGGCCGTCTGGGCAGAGGCCTAGAGCTCCTCTTGTCTCGGTTTTCTAACCCAGGGCTTAGAAGCCTTTGTGGCCATGCCTGGCTCTCTACATGGGTGCTGGAGACAAAGCGGTCGGCCCCTAGGACTGTGCGGCAAGCACCTGACCGTAAGCTGCCTCTCCAGGCCTTCTGTAGCTGCTAAGTAGACCTGCCTCCTGCCGGCTCAGTCGTTCTCTTCTGCGCTCAGTGCTTATGTCCCCATGTAAAGGCAGGAGGACACCCGATCCTCAGGAGAACTGCAGTGTTAACCGAGTCTCCTTCTGGGGGTGGAGCTGCTGCTCTTCTGCCTGCCCATTTTCCTGTGAAGCTGTCGGGGTAGCACAGGCCTGTAATCCTACACTCTGAACACTGAAGCAGGAAGAGATGGAATTCCAGGCTCCTGGGGAGGACCTGAGTTCCATTGCCAGCACCCCATCAAGTGGCTCACAACTGCCAGCTCCTCCAGCTTGAGGATGCAATGCTGGAACTTCATAGCACCCGCACTCAGAAGTATACATACCCACAGGCACATAACTTACAAATAAATAAACGGGGGGCGGGGGGGGGGCGGGGGGGGTGGCGGTTGTTTTGTTTTGTTTTGCAACAGGGTCTCATTATGTAGCTCTGGCTGTCCTGGAACTCACTCTGTAGACCAGGCTGGCCTCAAACTCACAGAGATCCACCTGCCCCTGTCTCTGTTCAGCCACTTATTATAACCTGCTCCTCGCCCTGCTTCCCTGTCCTTGGGTCAGGAAGCTTGTGTTTGTACTGTGATGTGGAGGTCTTTCAGGGACCTGGGATCCCCCTCCCTCTGGCCTAGGACAGTCCTGTGGGCCCACTGTTCCCACTGTCACCATCCCCAGCCTGAGTTCGCTTTAATGCCGGTCTCCAGTTGGAGAACAGTAAAGACCAGACTCTTTGCTCAGTCTGCACAGCCAGATTCTTAAAATGATGAAACCTGTCATTGGGCGGCGGCGGCGGCGGCGGCGGCGGCGGCGGCGGCTGTAGAGAAGGGCAGAGGAAAGCGGGTTTCCCTCGGTTCATTTGTTCTACACAAAGATGGCCTTTTCCTCAAGGGCTGTGCCAGTCTCTCAGGAAGGACTCAGGGGATTTTAATCTGGGCACTTTGGTTTGGAAAGATCATGTTCAGCCCACATTTATAAAGTATAATTTGGTCCAGTAGGAGCTGATTCATGTAGTCATTGAAACTAGATTTGGGAAGAGAAAATTGTGGCAAAATCCAGCTAATATATCTCTAACATTCCCAGAGTTCTTTTTTTTTTTTTTTTTTTTTATTGTTTTGTTTTTGGTTTTTGAGACAGGGTTTCTCTGTGTATCCCTGGCTGTCCTGGAACTCACTCTGTAGACCAGGCTGGCCTCGAACTCACAGAGATCTGCCTGACTCTGCCTCCAGAATGCTGGAATTAAAGGCATGTGCTACTACCTCCCAGCTACTTCCCCACAGTTCTAAAAACAAAAAAGTAAATACCATTTCCATCCTCCTGGTCCTTTGATAGCTTCTCAAATGGTCAGGGTTGGAGGCTTGCGGGTGGCAGAAAGGAGGAGTCGGTGGTCCTGAGGTAGGAGGTGGAGGGGGCGGAACCTGGATTTGGCTCTCTGGAAGATCCTCCATTTCTCTCTGTTGTATCAAACCTCCTTGTCAAGACAAAGCCCTGGCCTCAATCAAGTCTCTGATGTGCTTATTAACATGGCTGAAGAAAAGGCCATATGCGGTTTGTAGCAGGAGACATGGGCAGTGGCCTGTGTCTTTAACAGAGATACAGCTTGCCCCTTTTAGGCCACATTTGTCTTATTTCTGGATGTGGAGTCACTGTTTTTACAAATAATACCAGCCTCTGTAAAACTTGCTTATTCATAATGAGCCCCGGACTTGTCACACAGGAAAAGGCCTGTAACATGATCAGGTTCCTGGAAAGTTTATCTCTGATTATAACAGGCCCCACAGGAGCAGGGGAGTGAAAGTCTGGGGACGGAGGGAATGGTGAGCCATTGTGTAAAGACCCGAGTCTCTGCCCCTTGGTGTGCTATGAGCAGGGCTACTGCAGCAGGAGGCGGAGATGCCCTCAGCTCTGCAGAGCTTGGATCAGAACTTACTTTAAAGGACGGCACCTCAGAGGTCATTAGATTTGCCCTCCACTCCCACCAACTGCTTTGGCCACTGTGTTTCTCGGAACCCCATGTTCTTACAGCTTCCGAGAGAAACAAGACCTTACAAAGATCCCCAGGCTGTCGGATCGGTGAGGGGAACTCTGGGCCTGGTGTCCCTTATGTCTTTCTCTTACGGTAACTAATCCTCCTTTTGTGTCATAGCTTTTGAGGGACAAGCTTGTGCAGTTTCTAATATGGCTTTTAATTCACTCTCTTCTGCCAGTGGATTTTTTTTTCTTTTGAGATAGAGTCTTACTATATAGCCCAGGCTGAACTAGAACTCACAACCCTGTGCCTCAGCCTTGTAAATTCTGGGATTACAGGCATATGCCACACTCCAAATTTAGGATTTTAAAAGTAAATAATGTAGTTTTTGAGTGGGGAAATGATCTGAAAACACCAATTAAAGGCAGACACAGGGCTCAGGAGATGCACAACAGGCAACAGCAATGTGGACTGGTGACCTGAGTCTGCGCCTCAGGACCCTAATGACCCTGAGGAGAGAACTGCTTCCCACACGTGCTCCCTCCTCCGGAAATAAATGTTAACTAATACAGACTTCTAAAGATATTATTTTATTTTAATTACCTGTGTGAAGATATGTGTGTACATGTGTGCAAGTACCCCATCTCTCTGAGCCTTAGGTTGGTGTGAACCACCTTATGTGCATGCCAGGAACTGAACTCAGGTCCTCGGGAAGCTCAGTATGTGCTCTTAACCACGGGACCATCTCTCCAGCCCTTCAAAAAAAAATTTTAAAGTCAAATAGAGTTTTCTGCACCCAGCTGATTTGGGTCTGAGGCCTCAGGCATGAAAAATTTACTTTCTCATTTCTGAGAGCTAATTTTTTTTTAATCTACCCAAAACGTTCACCTATAAATCTAGCTATGAAAATTCATCTTTGAATTAGAGAAATTTGAAAGAGTGAATCCGATGATATTAATAAATTTCTATTTAACTTTAGTAACTAAAACAATGGGATGGTGGTTTATGTCTCCTAGGCTGGTCTTGATCCCTGGGATCGGGTTACACATGTCAACCTCCGGCATAGACGGGACTGTAGGTCAGAGGACAGTTTCCACGGTCATTTCCCTCTTTATGCCACGTGATGGGTCCTGGGGATCAAATTCAGGCTCAGCTGCAAGTTGCCTTCACTCACTGAACCAGCTCTTGAAAGCACTTTTTTTTTTTTTTTAAAGACAAGTTCTTACTTTGTAGCTCTTTCTGGCCTAGAGCTCCCTATATAGAATAGGCTAGCCTTGAACTCACAGAGATCTACCTGCCTCTGCCTCCCAAATGCTGGTAGTATGTGCCACCATGCCCAGCATATTATTTTGTAAGTAAAGTTTCACACCTTGTAAGACCTTAAGTATTTAAACGTATGCATGTCTACCACTCAGAATCTCTGGACTGAACGTGCAGCATGAAATCAGCACAAGGCCTCTCTCCCATGTTGGCCAGCAGCCTACTACCAAGCCGCGTCCCTGACTCCTGCAGCTCTTTCCATTAGCCTGTCGGTGCCTGATGTTGTTGTTAAAGTTTGTTATTAAGGCTTTAATTAAGCTTATTACAACTCTTAATTATTACTTAAAGTTGTGAAAACTATTCATTATTGAAGTAGTTATTAAAATTAATTATTAAAGTTTCAAATCATAAGAACTTTAGGAGCCAGCAAGATGGCTCAGTGCATAGGAGTGCTTGCAACAAAGCCTGATGACCTGAGTTTGCTCCTTAGCGTTCACAGTCCGGGGCAGACCATCTCCTGCACTCGCCCTCTGGCCTGCATGCTTGCTGTGGCATGCTGGCCCACATGCATGCATACACAGACAAATAAATAATAAAATTAAAAGAACTGTAAGAATTGTTAGCTGCGACAAGTGGTATTTATTTCTTCCCTTTTGATGTGTATGGTGCTGGAGGTCGAGTCCAGGGCCTCGACACATGCTAGGAGAGCACTCTACAAGTGAGTTACACTCCCAGTCCTGTTTCTTAGGCTCTGACTCTACACAAGATCTTGTACCCAGATGTGGTCTGTGGTCTATGGAAGCTGCAGTTTAAGATAGAAGACTGGCACATGAACAGATGAGCACATACACAATACTCTGTAGAAATCAGGTTGACAAAAGTCACAAACATGAAAGGTATGTGCCAGATGTTGGAGGAGGTTGGGTCACTGGTGCTCAGCAGAACTATAAGCAGTAAGGCTCTAGATCAGCAGTTTCTTAGCCTGTGAGTCAAGACCTCTTTGGGGGTAGAACGA